CAGCTACTTAGGAGGCTGAAATGGAAGGATCACCTGAGTTCAGCAGGTTGAGGCTGCGGTAGCCATGATCGTACCACTGCATTCCAGCCTGGGTGACAGACTGAGACTCTGACTCAAAAAAAAAAAAAAAAAAAAAAATTGTATTCATTTTCCATGGGTACCATTAGAGAATTAATAGGCTGGCATTTGTTGACATTATTTTCCACAAGTGGATTCTCATGCCTCTTGCATTTATCTTCCATAAAATAATAATAGATTCAAGGATTTAAAAAAAAATTTTTTTTTCAGGCTTTGATATATTTTATTGGAGTAAATTTTAAACAAAATATGGCTTTTATTTACAGAATTTAATGTGTGTGGGTACTGTCCAACGCACTTGGACACAAGTAAAGACTACCCCTAAGCCTGCTATGTATTTTCTTATTTTCAGTTTAAATATTAAAAAAAAATATTTTGTTTGCTTCATATTCATAAAAATCCCAATATTGTAAATGGCAAATAAAACCTCCCTTACCCATCCCTTAATTAAATACACAAACAGCTTCAAAATAGATACAATTTAAATTGGCTTAATCTTGAAATGAAATCCAATGAGACTGAAGACTAAACATTTCAGATCTTGTACCAAATAGTAAAATACTCGAAGGCCTTCAGGATCCTTCGACTGATTTACATCAATAAGAGAACCTATTTTTGATGTGGTAAAAGAAATGTGCTCGTCCCCAATTACAATTTCAAGCTCCTGTCGGCCAACCCTGTCAGGGGGAGGCCACAAAGCATCATCTTCTTTTGTAATTTCACTGTCATCAATAATTCTCTTCAGTTCTTCCATTACACTCTTATGTACATAAGCCTCTTTTCTGATCATGACATCATTTTTGTAATGGCTGTTGTTGGCATATCTAAGCTTTCCGTCAGGCCGAAACTCGAACTCCAGAAACTCGTGTCCAAACTTGCCCTTGTGCCCTACATAATAGCGCAGGTAGAAATCTCTAGCCATAGACATCTTGGTCCCCGGGAAGCCTGCCAAAAGCCCAGCCAATAACCTTTTTTAAAATTTTTAATTTTAAAGATGTGGGGTACAATTCAGGGTTAGGTGTACAAATGTTCATTATGCAGGTACCCTTGTTAATGAGGTGTGCAGATTCCCCCGGCAGATTCTCACTACTGCCAATCCCTGCCCCCACTGCAGTTTCCTGCTACTGCCATTCCTTTTCTTACAGTATTATGACAATGATTGTTCAAGGTTCATTTATGAGTGAGAACATGCGATACTCAGTTCTTTGTTTCTGTGATAGATCATTCAGTATTATAGACTCAAAGTCGGTCCAAGTTGTTGTGAATTTCATCATTTTGTCCTTTATGACTATGTAATATTCCATCGTGTATATATACCACGTTTTTTAAAATCCAGTCCTCAATGGGCAGCACGGTTGGTTTCATGTTTTTGCTATTGTGAACAATGCTGGAATAAACATACGTGTGCATGTGTATCTTTTTCATAGAGTGATTTGAATTCCTGCAGGTACATTCCCAGTAGGGGGATTGTAGGGTCGTGTGGAAGGTTGATTTTTAGATCTTTTAGGACTCACCAAACTGCTTTCCACAGAGGTTGTATGAGTTTGCATTCCCACCAACAGTCTAGAAGTGTTCCCTTTCCCCCACATCCTCTCCAGCATCTGTTTGTTGTTTTTTGAATTATTGATGATGGCCATTCTGACTGGAGTTAGGTAGTATCTCAGTGTGGTTTTAATTTGCATTTCTTTGATGACTAGTGAGGCTGAGCATTTTTTCATGTATCTGTTGGCTGCTTGCATGTCTTCTTTTGAGAAGTGTCTAATCATATCTTTTGCCCACTCTGTGATGGGGCAGTTTTTTTCTTTTTGGCATGTTTGAGTTCCTTGTAGATCCTAGATGTTAGGCCTTGTCAGACATAGAGTTGGCAAATATTTTTTCCCAATCTGTGGGCTGTCTCCCTGCTCTCTTGATGACTTCTTTGGCTTTGCAGAAGCTTGTCAGTTTGATGAGGTCCCACTTGTCTATCTTACCTCTTACGGCATGGGCACTTGGGGTTTTGATCAGGTATTGGTTGCCAGTTCCAATTTCCATAAGGGTGTCTACTGCATTTTCTAAGGATCTTATAGTTTGAGGTTTTACATTTAGGTCTTTGATCCATTTAGAGTTGATTTTTGTGTATGGTGACAGGTAGGGGTCTTGCTTTAATCTTCTGCATGTGGTCAGTCAGTTTTCCCAGCACCATTTACTGAATAGGTTATTCTCTCCCCAGTGATTGGTGGTGGAGGTTTTGTTGATGATGAGTTGGTTGAGAAATTGAGGTTTTGCTTCTGGAATCTCTATCCTGTTCCATTGGTCTATATGCCTGTTCTTGTACCAATATCAGGCTATTTTGATTATTGTAGCTCTATAATAAAGTTTTAAGTCTGGGTGTGATACCTCCTGCTTTTTTTTTTTTTTGCTGAGGATTGTTTTGGCTATTTTAGGTCATTTTTGTTTCCATTTGAATTCCTATATTGTCATTTCCAGGTCTGAGAAGAATGCTGTTGGTAATTTTATGGGTATTGCATTAAGTCTGCAAATTGCCTTGGTAGTACTGACATCTTAACAATGTTAATTCTTCCAATCCATGAGCATGGAATATTTTTCCAAGAGAATGCCATATAACTTGGACATCTGTGACTGCCACCTTAGTTGTGGAAATATCTGGAAGTGCCAAGCAGGAGACATTGATGGCCAGTCAACACCTGGGAGAAACCACGGGACAGCTTGGAGAAGGGATGTTACTCAGTAGCATCTGGGAGTCACCTTCTAAGAGCCTCCAGAATTATATTTGACAGACACCTTCCGGTGTTGAGGGTCCACCATCCATAGGCCATGGGAAAAACCTGGGAAATTTGAGTTGGGGTTGTTCCTGTTATCTATGCAGTCTGGTAAGGCCAGGGGAAACCTGAATGACACTATTAATACTATCTTGGCCAGGACTTATCCCCATGGAGAGTTCAGAGAAGGAAATACTCCAGTGAAGGTCCATACCAGTCACCGATGGAGTGTGGCAGGGAGGGAAGAAAGAGCACAGTTGTCAACATTCCCTTGTTATGATCTGTGTGGTCCCCACAGCAGGCTCTGACCTTAACAGGCTGCAGGGAGTGTTGGAAGGGAAAATGGGTCATTTTCGCTCAGATTGAACCTTTCAAGAAACCAGTTCCAGCACTAGCTAGCAGTGAAGGATGGTAATGATTTTTGTTGTTGTTGTTCTGTTATCTGGGCAGCTGAAAAAGGGGCTTGTTGAAAAACATATTCAGTGCATTGAGAAACTGTTCACACCAGAATTTTCATGGAGAGGGACTTAAGACTTGAGAGTCAGGAATTCACACCTATGTCCTTTTTACCCCTGAATTAGTTTCATTTTAAAAATAATAACAGATTGTTTTCCACAAATGGATTCTCACGCCTCTTGCATTTATCTACCGCGAAATAATAGCAGATCCAAGGATTTTCATTTTGCTGTTCTTTAATGATGACCTATCTCCATGGCAAAGATATGACAATTCCCCTTTATGACACATGGACCTATATAACAAAATAGTATCTCATTGGAAAAAAATGAAAAATAATTCCAGTCAATCTATATAAACCCCACTCATATCCACACACATGCCTCCTTATTCAAACCCTTCATATGTTTATGAACTCTCTTCCCATGCACCCTTTAAAAACCACAGACTCTGCCTTAGTATCAAGCCTACTGTACTGACATTGGCGACCAGAACTGAGGTGCAGGTGCTGGAGTACTGCTTTCAGAACTGTGAGACTTCTACCTCTGAATGGAATTCACAAATACACTGCTTCATAAAAGGTAATGCCCATTTCTAATGGAGAGGAGTTTCCATGGAAAGCAAGTGCAGAGGATCAAAAGGGCAAGGAAGGTTATAGGAGTCCCCTGACTTATGATTCAGTTCAGACTATTAGCTGAGCACTTGCTCTGTGCCAGGTATTATGCTAGAAGCTGAAGACAGAGGTGAGTTTCCATTCAGGTAGGAGAGTTCCAAAAGAACACAGAAAATTACAATTGCATATGCTATGAGTTATGATGGAAGTATACTCAAGACACAAAGGAGGCACAGAGGAGAGCCATCTAACTTACATGGGGAGCTGATGGAGATCAATGGAATGTTCTTAAAAAGATGATGTTTGAGCTGAGTTGTGGAAAAGAGGTAGGGAAGGGTGCTTCCCCCCAGAAAACCGTGGTTATACAACATGATCATATTCGGGACACTGCAATAAAGTTTAAACAATGTGCGTTTGGCAAATTTTGAAACAGCATCAATTTCATTTGGTTCGGTAGAAGCACTGTATGTGTATGTGTTCAGAATACCACAAGTAGTTCAGATTGCTGAAATGCAGACATGGAAAGACGTGACAGACAAAGCTGAAGAAGAAGCAAAGGTCAGGTCAACATCTCATGTGGGAATTCAAGTGGGAACAGTCACAGGCTGGGTTCTTATCCTACTGCTAAGATATGACTCAAAGTACTAGGACTGCTTAGGTATTCAATACACTTTAAAACTCTAAAAAAGAGAAATTAAGAATATTTAAAAAGACATTTTATTCCTAATTCCCCTTCCTAAAAACAACATCTATCTTCAAACCTTCCTATTCCCTTCGATTCCTATCACATAGTTTCTTAACATATACGTTATCTTAGTATTCATAAGCTTTTGCACTTGACTTTATCACTTGACCTTCATTGGTAAATTGTTTTGATGGCTGTCAGGTGTTTCACGGCGATCTTAGACAAAGCCATTTTCCTTCTGTTTGTCAGGTAAACAGTTCCCAGATTTTCCTATGACAAATGGCATTTCCATAAAGAGTTTCTACATGTAGATTTTATCTTCTGCTTTCCTTGAGGTAAATTCTAAGGCATGAGGTTATTGGGGCACAGAGTCTTCTGTTATGCAGGTGGACCGGGGCCTGGTACTCACAGTTTTGCTCCACGTGAGGCCTGTGTTGTGGTGTTCCTTGATGTATGCTTGAAGTTCACTCCAAATATTCAAATATGACTTCACCCAATCCACATGGCGTAAATCACTTTGTTTTAAAAGAGAGTGGAAGAGAGAGGAGTTAGAATCTAAAATAAAATTTTAAAAGATTGAGGAGCACACAGTTACAGTGACTAGGGCTCCAGACGAGCCTGAAACATTTGTCCTTCTAGCCCAATAACCATGAAGGGATTCAGAAGAGACTCTTGGAAGGAAGGTGGCCAGCACTCTCCTTCCAAGGGAGGGTGGGCAGCAGGTGGCTGAGTGCCCTGAGCTCCAAGTGTGTACAGAGAGACCACAGAAAGGAACCCAATGGAACTAACTCGACTTGGTCAGGGTGTCCTTGTGTTGTCTCTGTGGTCCTCATGTGATATGACCATGGAGGAGAAATCATGTCTTTTTGTACTGCTTCGGATGCACAATGAGAACAAGATGCTCTCAGGAATGTGAATGGTATTGAAAAAAGTCTTTTGGCTTGTTTTCTAATAATTACATTGAATTCTTTGGTTAAAAGTATAACCAAAGTGGAGAGTTTTAGTCATTATGACTGATAAGGAAGTTGGTATTATAAGAAAAATTATTTCTTACATATTGTTAACACCTCTTACTTCTAAAGAACATTCACTAAAATTTCCTTAATTTTATACTCCTAATGGCGATGCAAGCTAGTCAGGGCATAAACAGTATTTTTACCTCTGTTTTATTGAACCAAGAGCTAATAAAATGCTTACCTTTTGTAATAGGATTAAGATATAAGAGTGAGAGAACTGTTAGGAATATTAAACTTATAGATAGGCGAAAATGGTTACATTTTCTTTTGGCAATTTTCACGCACAATATTTTTTTCTACTTCAATGAAGTGGTGGTGAATGAGAAAATTATGACATTTGCGTTAACAAAAATTTAATTATGTTCCTGGGCCATTAATTTGAAGATAATCACTGAAGGAAATCTCTGTTATGAAAACTCCTGCCAATAATGACTTGTCTCTAGACATATTTTGTTTTGTTTTGTTTTCCTTGAAAAGCCCAAGTACCACCAGCAGGTCTAGAATCCTACCATATTAAGGCACACTATGTAGAAAGAGTGAAATGGGGAACCAAAGTCATAACAATTCACCCCTCAAAATGAAAAAATATGTGTGGTTTTGTTCTGCATTTTTAGACTTGCTGATTATATTAATCAAATCTATGAAAAATCTCACTGTCACATTGTTTCACTTCATAGTGAAAACCCAAAAAGCTAAGTGTGGCTTCATGGGTCTCTCTTGTTAGTTTCCTTAGTCCACAGGTCTTCTGAGGGTCTTAGAACAGTGACTCACACTTAGGAAGCGGTATATGCAATAGTTATTATTAGAACATATTATATATATGGTCATTTAAAACAGATATATGTATATATATATATACAACACACACACGCAAAATGAGAACAATATACTTTCTATTAAAAAAACTTAACAAGGGATAAAGTCCAACTCTGTACAGGCAAATTCATTTTTTTTTAATTATTGCAGTATTATTTTGACTTGAAGAAAGTTATAGCAAAGCTTACAGTATGGAATAAGAGTATGATGCCTTTTCACCTGAAGTCAGTCTTTAAAAGAGAGCAAATTAAGGAGGACCCAAATACACATTGGGAGCTGCAGACCCACCCTTGATTTTCATCTACTCTGGAAGCAGCTCTGGTAGGGGAATGTGAATTTTAATGATTATGACTCAGAGATGTCACCCCTTGATGCAGCCAAAATAATTGACTTGCTCTATTCATATACTGAAAAAGAGCCAACAAACAGTAAAGGCAGGGGTCAGGGTTTCACAGACATGAAGAGCCCACTGCTCACAGTTTTGTTTAAGCCATAAAGAAGTCTGTCCTTCATGAGCCTATCCACCAGGTAGGCAGCAGTGAGTCACAGGTGACTGCGACACAGAGAAGGCACTGCAGGCTTGGGTACACCCATTCATGAGTGCAGCATGCTGTGGAGTATGCTGCTTTCATTGGGTTTCCAGTGCAAGGGTGACTTGGGATTGTCTGACTGCTCCTAGAAGGGAAATGAATGAATCCATATCTCTAGCTGCATTTCTCAGGCTTATTGTAGTCTTCAGGGGTTCCACTGAGCTTAGCTGTCTTTGGTGGTGCCAGAAGCATATTTTCTACATAGCAGCTGATGTTGAGGGGCAAATACTTTGTAAGTGTACAAAAATGCAGAAAAGCCTAATCCTCTTGGCTATGCTAATACCTGGGAAGAACCAACACACACCCATGGCTCCAACATATATTCAAGTGGGGATAGGGAGAAGGACAGGAACTGATGAACTGAGATACAATGCAAAACGGTCTCCAAGGGTGATATGCAAAAAAGACAGAAACCTAGGTAGTGTTTGCGCTGTCCTGAATTGGCATGTAGAGAGGTGGGTGTGTGTCTGTACATTGTGAAAAAAGAAGTCACTATGAGTATATGTTCATGCCAACACACTATATCCAAGTTTTGTAACTTAAACTTGCTCTTTCCTGAAATGTTATTTTTATGTAAGAAGAGCAGATGTCTCACATTCAGATGCCTTTCTCATGAATCCTACACAGTTCTATGGTCTCTAATACAACACAGCGACGTCTGGAGTCATATCACTGGGTGTAATTGCCTCAATATAGTTTTCTGGGTGCCGGAAGTCTGTAGATCACAGACTTAGAACAACTGACTTAACCCAAAGCTCTCTCCAGGTGGGAAGAGACCCTAGGAGGGAAAGAGGAACACCGAGGACCCTGGAATTAGTAGTTCTGCCTGCTAAACCTGTTCTTCCTAAAAGCTACAAGATCTGTTTTGCAGCCGGGCTCGGTGGCTCAGCCTGTAATCCTGCGCCTTTGGGAGGCTGAGGTGAGTGGATTGCCTGAGCCCGCGGGTTTGAGACCCGCCTGGGCAGCGAGACCTCATCTCTACAATAAAAATAAAAAAATTAGCCGGGCATGGTAGTGCACGCCTGTAGTTCCAGCTCCTTGAAAGGCTGAGGCGGAAGGATCGCCGGAGCCCAGCAGGTTGAGGCTGCGGTGGCCGGGAGCGGCCACTGCACTCCAGTCTGGGCGACAGAGTGAGACTCCAACTCAAAAAAAAAAACAAAGATCTGTTTTGCTAACATGGAACAACTAAACTCTGTGAGCTGTGGCTGTTTTTGTTTTTTAAATATAACAGTTTTATTGAGATATAATTCACATCCCATACAACTTACCCACTTAAAGTGTACAATTCAATAGTTTAGCTTAGCAGAGCTGAGCGATCATCACCACGATCAATTTTACATTTTCACTGCCCCTAATAGAAACTCCATACCCATTAGGGGTTGCTCCCCATTTTCCCTAAACTTCCCCAGCCCTAGGCAATTGCTAATCTATTTTCTGTCTCCACTGATTTGCCTATTTTGTAATTTCACATGAATGAAATCATGCAGTAGTATGGTCTTTTGTGTCTGACTTCTTTCACTTAGCACAAGGTTTTCCAGATTCATCCATGTTATTGCCTATATCATCCTTTTAATGGCCAAATAATATTCTACTTGTGGATGTATATACCACATTTTATTTATCCTTCCATCAGCTGATACACATTTGGGTTGGTTCCACCTTTTGGCTATTGTGAATAATGCTGCTGTGAATACTGTGTACGAGCTTTTGGGTGAACATATGTTTTCATTTCTTTTGGACATATATCTAGGATTAGAATTGCTGGTCTTTGGCTGTTTTTTATAGGAAACAATATTGCTATGCATTTCTAAAACTAAGTGGTGAAAGTATGGGTATTCTTTGTAGTGTAATTCTTGACACCCCATCTGTTTCAAACTTGGAAGGTTGTGTAATGCCAGAATGACCCTCATTCTTAAAATTTTTTTATAAAAGTTTATTTACAAACACATGTTCATAGTCATTTCTGATTTTGTTGAGAATTTCTTTGGGGTCAATTGTGACACGACCTTCTTCATTTCTAATTGTGTTTGTTTATTTTATAAATATTTATATAAAATATTTATTTATTTTATAAATATTCTTTTCTATACACTTAATATTTATTAAAACCAAAAATAACCTGAAAAAAAAGAGTGATGCAAATTTTGAATATGTTTATATTGATCAATGACCTGGAACTATAGTAGGTATTTATTTATATAATCTATGTACTTTTTCTATATTCCATGTAAAAATCTGTCTTGTATTGCTGTAAATCCTTTTCTTCTGGTTCTTTCAGGTTTGCATTAGTGAAACAAAGAGATGAATTGGGGCAATAATTCAGATGATTCAGATCCTCAAAATTCCTTCCATCTGAAGATTTTGGGTCAATGAGTGAGACATCCCTAGAAGCCCCTGCATTTGCTGACCGAAGATCACTTTTGTTGCTTCCACCTAAAGGCTCAGAGGGAGATACACTCTTGAATACAGATCCAGAAGGGGATAGAACCTTGTTGCCCTTATTTTTGTTCCATTCCTTTCCTTCATTCTTTTCTTTAGTTATTAGGTATCAGTCGCATCACATTTAGCCAGCTGTTTACAGGGCAAGGCATGGGAGGGAAATCCCATGACACCCCTTAAATAGTTTAGGAGACACTTTCCTATATACTTTCTCATGTCCATTCATGGCTATTTCTTCTCTGGCATGTTTCCATTTGGCCCTGTTTTCTATTCTAACCCCAGTTTAAGTCTCTCTAGGATATAACATTTGTGTTGTAGAAAACAAGGTTCTTTCACACTGGTTCTCTAGGCACAGTTCCTTGGTTTGGACTCAGCGGTACTTTCAGCAGCTCTCTGAACGGCTGCTGTTTCTATTGTTGTATCTCTGTCCAGTCAATTATATTTAATCTTTACTCAATCTCTGATTTCCCCCTCAGTGGCCTGGCTTATTGTCTCATTTCATTTCTGTTCTTGATTTGTACTTCATTTCCTAATTCCTCCTCACTTCAATCACTTACCCACCAACTCTACTTTGAACAATGTAAAAGTTCTGTGATTCTACAGGGCTGGTCCATCACAAAGCTCTCTCATATTGTGGGAGTACAAAAGATAGTGACGTGTACAAGTAGGGGAGGAGTCCATTCTTTACAACTGAGGCAGGCTTTCTAAAATACATATATTTCATTTTCCTTTAATGTTTTTAATCTACTAGTGTAGAGCCTTGGAAAGAGATCAGTAACTCTATTTCGTTTTAGGAACAAATGTCTAATGAGGGATCAATTAAAAATTTGGTCAGTAAAAGAAGGTACATACCTGTGTTTGTAGTCCTTTAAGACCCTGTTAGTATAAAAGGTGGCAGCATCATTCATCTCCTTGACATAAGGACCAGGTTTGGGGGACTGAGAAAACAGGACCATCACCCAAGCATAGAAGGAAAAAAAAATAGGATAAGAAAGAAAATGCCTTAAAGAAGAAGAAAAGCAATGGAGATGTGGACTCGAAAGTGGGGGACTAATTTTGCTTTGTAACAAAGATTGGTAAAACACTTTCCACATCTCAGAACAGAAAGCACTACACTTTAAACAGTAAGAAAAAGCTGATGCATGCAACCTAGAGGGAATCTTCCTTTAGTGCATCAGACTGTGGACAAAGGAACGTGAAGGTTCGCCTATGCATTCTCTTAAATACCCCGAAAAAGTGATGAGGTGAAGGGGCGACATTGCCTTGACTCACCACAGCTATCCAGCCAAGAGCAGGGATGCTTTCGCTGACGGCCGAAAGATGATTAAACATGTTACTCCCTCGGTTTCTCTCTCTGAAAGTTTGGATTTCCTGAATCTTTTCTGATATGGGTTTCAGAAATGCAGCCACGTCATTCTGTAAGCAGTCAAACAAGAAGGTCTGTTACTAGACAGATTAGAAGCATTGCATCTCTATCCATGTGGGCCCAAATAGCAGTATTCAGGACTTGCCGTTTGTCCAGGAGCCTAAAAAAACATATAATCATCTTTCAGAAGAGATGGATTTGTTCTCTGCTGTGGTAATACTGCATATTTATTATCTGAAGTATGAGAACTGGAGATTTTTTAACATTATTAATGTTGTCTCTGAAGACATGGAAAAAAACAGCAGTTGATACAGCCTTAATTTTGGAAACTCCTGCATGGAACACAGTGAAATTGAATGTGGATCCATTATATTTTCAAATGGAATACATAGAGCACACACTTCACTAACACAGGTATAGAGCTGGGGTGAGTGAGAGGTTAGTAAAATGATGTCTTTCTTTATTCTCATGGGAGAATGATGTGGGAAAGGGTACTTGGTTTTGCCACAGTGACCATAACCGTGTGAAAAAGTAGAAATCTTTCTTTCACTGAGGCTCTTTTAAGAAAATGTGATGGCTTACGTGACCTTAGTCTGGTTTGGCTTTTTACATTGTACTTTTAGCCTATGACTACTGGTACACTCACTTCAGACTAAACCAACAACTGACTTCTCTAGTCATAAAAAAATGACTTTCCAAATGATGTGAACTGCTTTAGGAAGTATCACAGAGATAGTTACTCCAGAACACCACAGTTGCTTGCTTTACTTATTTATTTACTTACTCACAGTTGATTTAAACATCTCCTCATTCATCCCTTAGTATTTTTTGATTTCTTTAGGGGTTGAAGAAACAGATACTCGGTTGTTTATCTGATTTTTGTGTGTGTGTGCTCCAAAGAAATGGCAAAGTTCTATACTTTAGCTTTGTGAAAGTAGTTGAAGAGCTTTTAGCAGTATTTTACTAAATCTTGTTTGCTGCAGGTAAAATAGAAAAACTCCTTACAGCTCTTTAATTTCTTTTTTTTTTTTCTTTTTGAGTTGGAGTCTCACTCTGTCGCCCAGACTGGAGTGCAGTGGCCCCTCCCGGCCACTGCAGCCTCGACCTGCTGGGCTCTGGCGATCCTCCCGCCTCAGCCTTCCGAGTAGCTGGAATTACAGGCATGCGCTACCACGCCTGGCTGATTTTTTGATTTATTGTAGAGATGAGGTCTCGCTGCCCAGGCGGGTCTCGAACCCGCGGGCTCAGGCAATCCACTCACCTCAGCCTCCCAAAGGCGCGGGATTACAGCTCTTTAATTTCTTTAACCAAGACTTCAGAGCAATGGTTCCCAGAGTTGACTACACATTAGAACCACCCGGAGAACCACCCAGAGAGCTTTAAAAATCACTGAGGCCTGGATTCCACTCCCAGAGATTCTGGTTTAACTGGTCTGGGGGTGGTCTGGGTCAGAATCAGGACTAGAAAAGCTCCCCAGGTGACTTTAATCACTGCTACAGTGGTGACTTCACTCCCCAAAGAACAGGCCTTTAGGTCAGGAAAAACAAACCATTAGGGAAGAAATTATGTACAGCTGTGGTACCTTCCAGACTTTACCTCTCCTTCTAAGCCCCTATATATTCCTTCCCCCAAAAGAAATACAGTATTTAAGAGCTTTGGAATTAGAATGGCCATGGTTTTCAAGTCTCGGCTTTGCCACTGACTATCTATGGGGACTTGAGCAAATTATTTAATCTCATCCTTGTTTCCTCATCTATAAATCAGAGATAGTAATACTGACAACCTATAGGCTACAGGAGGTACTATACGTTAAACTTCTGGCACATGAAAGGTAAACAATACATGGAAGTAGTTATTATTTTTATTATTGTTTTAGAGACAGGGCCTTGCTCAGTCACCCAGGCTGGAGTGCAGTGGCACAATCATTATTATCATTCTCTGATGCAATTAACTCATACCAGAGGTTAAAAAGGATGCTGACCCCTGGAATACATAATATTCATTTGTTTCCAATAAAAATGCATTTAAAATAAGAAAGGTTCCAAATAAGCAAGGTAAGGTAACAGGATTTTAGGAATACAGGAGTCTAAATCGGGTCACCTAGTTTAGCTTTTTGACAGATCCAATTGAATAAGTCCCAATTAGTATTTTTAAAAACTACGAAAATAGATTAGAACAGTATAGAAAATATCAGAGGACATTCATACGTAGTAAGGGTAGGTATTCAGTTCTGTGTGTGTGTGTGTGTGTGTGTGTGTGTGTGTGTGTGTGTATTGGGCTGCAAAGTAAAATGTATTTCTTTCTTTCTTTTTGAGTTGGAGTCTCACTCTGTTGCCCAGACTGGAGTGCAGTGGCATGCTCCTGGCCACAGCAGCCTCGACCTGCTGGGCTCCGGCGATCCTTCCGCCTCAGCCTTCCAAGTAGTCAGAATTACAGGTGCCCAGCTAATTTTTGATTTATTGAGAGACGAGGTCTCGCTAGGTTGCCAAGGTGGGTCTCAAACCTGCGAGCTCAGGCAATCTACTCGCCTCGGCCTCCCAAAGTGCTGGGAATACAGGCAGAGCCACTGAGCCTGGCGTAAAATGTATTTCTTACAATGAACCTTGGTCAATAAGTTTGAGAAACATGCTCAAATCCAATTATCCTATTTTACATATGGGGATATAAGCTCAGGGAAGTCAAGATCAGCTAGCAGGGGTAAGTTAGTGGAGCTGGAACTAGAAGCTAGGTCTTTGGGGAGGTCCGGAGATAATTCTCTATATTGGGCACTGAGAAAAATATAGCTAGTTCTCTACACATAGGTTTCTTCTCTGCCCACAAGACTAGAGAAAGGTATCGTGAAGAGATTAAGAGCTCAGGTTCTGGAATGAGAACTGCTTAGATTCATGTCCTTGCGCCACAGTATACTAAGGTTCTTGGATTTTATACGAATTACCAAACTTGTCTAAGATTCTATTGTCCCATCTGTAAACTAGGGTTGAGAATAGTACTCACTTCACAGGGATGTTATAAGGAGTAAATAAGAGAACATATCCGAGCATGGTGGGTACTCAATAGGTGGTTGGAGATCTTCAAGGTACTTGCCAGTTAAAAAGTTTCTGGTTGACCAGATTCACTGATTGGCTCTTTCCTTATGGGACAGCAATTTCCTGACTGAGATAGACAGATGAACAGAGGTACATTGTTGCTTGGGGGAAACAAAATTATAGGGAAGGAAAGTAAATTGTTCTCAAAGTTCTCGGTGAACTTTTTAATTTTTCCATATCAAAGGAGGAGAAAAACAAAAAAGTCTGCTGCAGAAGCTAGCTAGTTCTTGTAGAAAATCCATGAATATCTTCTTGCCTTCTCTCGTTTGCTTTTGATCATTACAAAGCAAAGGACTTACAGATTTGGCATGAAGACCCTGAATCAGGGTTGTTAAGCTGAAGTCCCAACTTCTAGTACCTCAGAATGCAACCCTATTTGGAGATAGGGTCTTTAAAGAGGTAATTAAATTAAAATTAGGTTATTAAGGTGGTTATAAACCACCCAATTATTACTGGTTTTTATAAGAAGGGGAAATTTGGACATAGATATGCACAGAGAGAAGAAGATGAGGAGGACCAGGGAGAAGAGGCCATCTGCAAGCCAAGGAGAGAGACCTCAGAAGAAAGCACCTCTGCCAACACTTTGTCCTGGACTTCTAGCCTCCAGAACCGTGAGAAAATAAATTGCTGTTGCATAAACCACTCAGTCTGTGGTTCTTTCTTATGGCAGCTCTAGCAAACTAATACTGAGGTCTAATGGCAGTTCAGGAAAAGCAAATAAACGCCCTCATCTCCCCCCCCCCAAACCCTCAACAATAAAACAAATAAAAGAGGGCTAAACACTCCTGGCCCCAGCTATTCCATGTTTGTTTGTTTGTTAATGGCCACCAAAAGTCAGTTTTAAATACCCTCCCTGGAATTTCATTCTTTAGAAAGCAAACATTTCCCCCTTCAAGGGATTTTTTTCCGCCCAAATTTAGCACCTGATAAAAGGTGTGGTACTGATTTTTCTAGAAGGCAGCTAATTTTAAATTATGGTAGACCTACTAAAAAGTATCCTAATTTTCTCCAACAATTTGCTAGGCCATAATATTTTTGAAGCAATGACATTTTTTGAGAAAGGCCAGAACATTTAAATTGTTGGTGATACCTGGCCCACTGCCCCAAGGGGAAAAATAACCAGAAACTGTGTATTTACAATGTTAGAGAGATTTATTAAGGCTATCTTTGTTTATCCCTAACTTCCCAAGAACAAACTCTAAAGTCTGAGGAGACAGAGTATTCTGGAAGATATTTTATGTTGGTTATCTGATGAAAGCATCGTAAAAATTGAGAACGTTTTCTTTTGCTTTAGTTTGGCAATTGCGTGAAACATTGTCATTATTTAAAAAAAGCAGCAATGCTGAGAGAACTAAGTACAACAGCTATTTGCACAACTCTAATAAACAGTATGGCTTTTATTCTGTGCCAATAGATTTCTTCTGTACTTTCAAGTAGCCTTATCTTCACCAGTTCATCCTGAACTTTCACAGCTGGAATCAAAAATAGAAGAGAACATTAGAGTGATGGTGTGATTTCCATCAAAGCTTATTGTGTGGGATGCCAGATGAAAGGCCAAAACGGTGCTATTAGTTAGAGGTACTTCCACCTGTTTAAGTATTAAGCATATATTAGGCATATTCAATCAATACAGGCTGACTTGCACTGATGTCAATTAAAATTACATAAGGGCTTTCCACTAAAGGAGGAGATAATTTAAGAGGCATCCTGGGTGGTTTTTTTAAATGGAGTTCATTGGTGGTAGCTCTTAAGAAATTTCTAGCAGCTAGTGTGCTTTGGAATGACTTTAAATTGACCAGTTTTACATAGGTTGCACTCTAATTTTTTTTTTTCACTCAGGCTCTTTTATTATGAGATGTTTCTCTGAAAAAAAGTAACTTCTCAAAGTACAAGTGAAGATGAGCTGAATATCTTCCCTTCCCTTCCCTGGGTTTCTGTGTCTTTTACAGAAGGTGAAATGGCCA